GCTTGTGATTAGCCGCCTCTGCCTGCATTATCAGTCAGAGATTCCCTCCCAGCCAGCATGTGTGGGTGTTTGATGAACCAGGACACCAGGAAATCAAAGGAAAATTTAAATCAAGGATCAGGATGATGTATGACAATAAAAATAACATAATTGAAGACCAGGAAGGAATAAAAAGCCATGGGATGCAATACACAGAAGAATTATACAAAAGAGATGAAAAATTAAGGACATATGGAATGAAGAGCCATATGAAAATGAGTGCTAAATTCTAAAAAGTGAAGTGGGAACTGAAATAAGAGAAATAGCAAAAGCAAATTGTCAGAAACAGAGGATATTCCAGTTGAACTGCTGCAATCCACATTGACAGAGTCAACACTAGTGCTAATCAACATATGTCAACAGATATGAAAAACAAAATGATGGCCAACAGATTGGAAGCAGTTAATATACATCCCCATCCACAAAAAAGGAGATACAAAAGACTGCAGCGTCTATAGGACCATAGCATTGATCTCCCATGCAAGCAAAATTATGCTGAAAATTATGCAACACAGACTCCAACCATACATGGAGAGAAAAAATCCCAGAGGTCCAAGCAGGGTTTAGGAAAGGAAGAGGCACCAGGATCACATTGCAAACATACTATGGCTAATGGAGTGTAGTAGAGAGTGCCAGAAGAAAATCAGCATGTGCTTTATAGACTACAGCAAAGCCTTAAAGACATAGGCGTGCCAACACATCTGATAGTCCTGATAAGAAATCTGTCCTCAGGACAAGAGGCTACTGTCAGAACAGAAGATGGAGAAACAGAATGGTTCCCAATTGGCAAAGGGGGCAGACAAGGCTGCATCCTTTCTTCCTATCTGTTCAACTTGTATGGAGAACATATTATAAGAAAAGCAGGCTTGGACGCAGAAGAAGGAGGAGTGAAAATAGGAGAAAGGAATATCAACAATCTAAGATGACACCATAGTATTAGCAGAAAACCTCGCAGACCTGGAACACCTGCTAAGGAAGATCAGAGAAGAAAGTGCTAAGGCAGGCATAATGTTGAACATAAAGAAAACAAAAATAATGATCATCAAGGACCTTCACAAGTTCAACCTAGACAATAAAGAAATAGAAATAGTAAAAGAATTCCCATACCTGGAATCAAGCATTCGTAGAAATGGGGATTGCAGTCAGGAAATCAGAAGAAGATTAAGAATGGGGAGGGCAGCCATGAAACAACTACAAAAGAATCTAAAATGCAAAGATATAAAACTCAGCAAAAAAAGCTAGACTCC